CTGTTGTGGAGAAACTGGAGGTTGTGCTTGTTCTGCTTGTGCTTGTTCTGCTTGTGCTTGATGTTATCGAGAAACTGGAGGAGGTGGATGTGATGGTTGCTGTTGCGGATGTGCTCGTGCTTGTTGCCGTGCTGGAGGATGTGATGGACGTTGTGTTTGTGCTTGTTCTGCTTATGCTTGATGGTGTGGAGGAATGTAGTGTTGTGGTGAGTTCATGCACGTCGAATTAAACTGCTCAAAAAACTCAAATCGCACTGCTTGAGGATCATGCAAAAACCCTTTGCAAAACTAGTCAGTAACTCAGTGAAAGAAGAAGAAGCTGCCGTGTTTGGGCCCGGCGGCCAATGCATCAGTTGATTCTATGGATGTGTCAATGACTTCCAGTGGAAATCCGGTGAAAGGTGGCATGTTGTGGTGGGTGATTTCCGATGCAAAACGGCGCCCCAGTGACGGGGATCACACTCAGCACCCGAGTGGGACGGCTGAGCGAAACACACTTCGACACTTGTATTCAGTTAACTCAATTCCCCGAGGAAAGGAATGGCTCAACGGCAAGGTGAGGAGTCCGATCAATTGAAGGTGTTTCAACAAATAGTTTGTGCGCATCTGCAGACTCGCGACAGCAGCGGACGAGCGGCGGACGGCAGCTGAAACCGAGGGAAAAGGGTTTAGGGGAAGTAGCATGAACCACCATGGAAACAAACAAAGAAAGAGTGGAGTGACAGCTTGTACAACAGTTCGGCAGGTACGTTTGCAGCCCCCCCCAGTGGCCTCTTCGTTGGCCATCCGCCACTGGGGAGGGGGATGGCCCCCTGCTGTGAAAAAGGTAGAAGTTGGCAGTGAACCCTTTGGCACAGGGGTTGACACACACACACACACACCACTGGGCCCCACTTGAGTCCGTCTGCCGGAATGATCGAGAAATATGCAATAAAAATATATCACACCAGGCATTCATTTGTGGCTTGATGCGCTAGCTTACGGCCCACAAACTGAGAGCAGCTCCTGGTGTCCAAGCATCACCCTACGCCCCTACGGACCAACAACACCAGACGCCGATGAAGGCGCCTCACTCGTCAGAGGTCTGTGACCGGACCGGCTGCTTCCCCTTCGGCCGCTTCGGGGGCCTGATGCTTCGAACGATGCTTGAGTCTCACTTCCATGGGTGACCCTTTTATAGACCGTTCCTTTAGGACTTGACCTTTGAATTGTGTCTAAAGCAGTTAATGGGTTTTTCTTTTCCAGCTGACTGCTGCTGCATCTGCTGGAACCGCGGCTTGAGGTTTTAGCCATCTGCATGGCTTGCATGGCCTATCCAGCATCTGAAATGAATTATATAGATGTGTTTTCCTAACCGATGATTCTTCAACATGATTCAACGTTAAAGCTGCTCCATCAAGGTCTGATAGGTCTCCAGTCACTCTGCTGGGTGTTTCTTTCCTCATGCCAGCTGCCACACCGCCAATGACGCCTCGGGTGCAGGTTGCTCGATCTGTGCCTCGAAGTCTGCCACAGTCACTGGCCCTGGAAGTCGGTGGTCGGTTTTTCGGGCGAAGTTCGTGTCGAAAGCTCAGCCTGGATCAGCCCAGCGGCGTGAAAACTGCACCTTTTCCGTTCGGAAAAAGGGGGGTAGGTAGCATTGAGTCGGACATGCTTGGTGTTGGTGAGGGTGGAATTGGTGGGGGAAACTCCATCTCGTTCCCGACCCACTTCTGCCACAAAACCCGTCTGCGTTTGCTGTCCAGGAAGCGGGTGAAAAGCAGATTCCCCGGGTTTGGGGGTTCACCCAGTTCGGGAAAAAATAAGCAAAACCAGGTCAAACTCTTGAAGTCAAAATGGATCAACATGGGAAAGTTATGCCTTTCATGCCCACCAGTGGGACACATGGAATTGGGCAGGATTTCCAAAAGCCATGACTGACGGACCAAAACGAAGGATCCTTTTTTGGAGGTGGCTTGATTGGAATGACCAGATCACCCAAACAAGGATATAAACAAGGGCATGCAACCAAGTTGGCCTATCTTTTTTGGTGGCACTAGCCTCACTAATTTAGCGACTGCCAGGTCGTTATACCATGGTGGCTGGGTGTTTCGGGCGGAGGACGTGCCGATTCGAGAAAAGCCCATGTGAATTCCATCTCCACCCGCTGAGCACCGGGTGAAGTATCAAAAAAAAACTATTTATCGCATCAATAAAAAATTATTCAAGGGGATCAATAAAAAAAACTAATTACTTAATCAAAAAAAAAAAATTCTACCACGAACCCTCTTTGGGCTGGGCGTCGGCCTGTATACTAATCTCTTTCCTCCTGCCTGGCCTCCTGGCTAACAGGCAGTTTCCGCTCAGAGTCGAAATTCGTGGCAGGAATCTTGTGGCACAGGGGCGGGTTGGGGGAGGGGGATTAAATCACGTTTCCTGTCTCTTCCTGGCTTTCTGGCCTCTTTTTTACAGCAGCAGCAGCTTTAGTTTTTAAAAGTCAAGTTTCCGCTCAAATCTTCCTGTGTGTCATACTAAGTTGTTGGTTCCTGGCTGATTGGCTTTTTTGTCTAGAATAACAGCAGCTTTAATGTTCAACAGGCAAGGTTCCGCTTACAGTCAGATTTCGTCGCAAGACTTTTGAATAGCATTTGCAGATTTGGTGGGCAAGGTTTACCAAGGTTCCACTAAAAGCCTGATTTCATGGCAGGGACGTTGAATACTATCTGCAGATTTCGTTGCGCGGGAGGGGGGTTGGGGGGGCGGGCGCAGCGCCTCCCCCCCACGAGCGCTCGGAAAAGACATGCAATGAATTATACAGAGCCAAACGAAAGTCAGGAAATCTATGTACAGGAGTAAGACACATCGAGTGGTAGAATCGGCCTCCTGTTCGAAAAGTGTAGAGGCAGGGTGTGAGTATCAAGATCAAATCGGCAAAAGTGAGTGCGTGAGTCAAGTTGAAATGGCAACATCCTTCTCTAAATTTTACCCTCGGGTGGCTCACCAAAGGGTGAGTCAACTTGGAAGGGCAACATCCTTCTTTAATTTTTACCCCTGCATGGCCCACAAAAGGGTCAGTCAAGTTGAAATGGCAATTTACCCCTGCATCACAAAAGGGTGAGTGAACTTGGCATGGCCACTTCCCTCTCTAAACTTTAGCCCTGCATTGCACACAAAAGGGTGAGTCAAGTTGGGGTGACCACTTCCTTCTCTAAATTTCA